CCTAGAGGTTGCTGTAACCTATGTCAAAGGCATTCTCTTGCTCGGAATGAAAACGTAAATGGAAGACAACACAGAAAGCAAACAACAGAACCGTCCACATCAGTAACCTTCAGCAAGTAGAACAGCCAAACAAACTTGTGAATGAAAAGTGGGTCAAGTCTGATTGGGGAGGTTTACATGATGTTCACCGAGAATCCATACATTGCAAGACTTTTTTTTTAATAGAAAACTATTCAACTATGAAATGGAAATATAGCAGGACATTTATTCAGGCTACAGATATTTCTATTAATTTGTCGACTATTCGCTGGGTACTTAGGAAGGAGACAGAGAACGTGTGGGAATGTCTGGAGTGCAGTTATGTCAATTCCTGGTTCAATCATTCACCATCATGTAACAAGTCCTTTTGCAGAACATCGGTCTTAACACAGCACTCAGGACAGCCACTCGATTCTTTGCCAGTTGTCCCGTCTTGTAAACTTTCATGCACATTGTGTTCTTAATACAATAACAACAAGTCTTGCTGGTTATTCCCTGTCTTTTCCTCTAAGGACCATACACTCCAACTATATGTTCTTTCCTTGCTATGCGAAAAAAAAACATCAAGTTCACCCAGCATTCCCGAAGGGGAAGCTTTTGGTTATAATTGTGACTAGGTTATGTGCGCCAAATAAAATGTCTTAGCATTGCTCGCCCCTAAAAAAAAAAAAGTTAGTTGCGTATCCTTTACAGGACGTTGCAGAACCAACCCTAACAGTCCTGGCTGTTGTGTGGTTTATCTTGGCAAATTTACGTCCAGTAGTTTGCAATTGCTTACTAGACGGTCGGCTTTCTTGATACCACTGTCGAAACCAACGCAAGGCGCATTGCCCGCAACTGGGATCGAACCCGGCATCCCGGCATTTCGAAGCGAAGCGTTTGCATCGACTTAGCCACAGAGCCGACCGCTCGCCCCTAAGAAGCCCTGAAAAGGACTCTTGAGTGTGGATGCAATCAAAGGAGATGACCCAAAAACTGTCCTGACCGACGACGAAGTCATCTGCTGGCCAGGCAATGGGCGACGCGGTCGTCGACTGTTACTATAAAATCTTCCAACAATTACGAGACTGTGCACAACTGAGTGAGGAATACAGAGTCTGTCGCAGAAGTCACGCCGCCGTTTTGAAAATTCCTACTCCACTCATACACTTGCTGGACTAACAGGCAGGCATTACTAATCTCGAACTCCATTCGCCGATGAATTTCTTTAGGTTTCATCCATTAACTTATCTTTAAACTATCATTATGACGTCATAGTTGTTCGTCTGCACCGCGATGTCATGTGCTTAACACTCGTGACGTCTTTAACAACCATACTGACACCTAACAAGACAATGGCTTTAATATTGTGATTTATATACCACATATATAAATAGCTTTTACGTGAAGTTCCTTCGCATTTCAATCAATAAGTGCCGAAGGATAGTTGCACGTGGATCTCCATCACCTTATGTATCTTGTCTTGGCAGTGCTCTCTCTCAGACTGCTGATTGTCCATCTATTGATGTTGTCCTCGCATTTGTATCGTTGTCTACCTCTTGTTCTCTTGCATTCGACTTTAGTTTCCACGAAACGGTACTGCCTATGAACAGTCCTCATTGATATTCAGTTAGTGAAGAATGCCAGTGTGTTTCCTTTGGTTTGGTATACGAAACTCTAATTACCTTCCTTAACGACTGTGCCCAAAAGCTGGATTGACTAGTTATTCTGCTCTTATTTGTAAATAAAATCTTTAAAAAAAAAAAAAAAGGAAAAAAAAATAATAAAAAATTATACGTCAGCTTTGTAAAGAAACAAAGGATATTGAGGCGATTAGCTTTCATTAGCAGAACGACCACAAGAAACCACGCACAAATTAACTTACTCTAAAATAATTACTTTATGATATTCACACATTATGTAAAACAAATATTGTTATCTAAATATCCGTTACAAGACGTTGCAGAAGCAAGACCATCACTGTTTACGTTTTTTTTTTCCTAGGTACATTTTATGTTCATTACTTTGCCAATGCTGTTTGAATTTTCAGCTCTTGATATGTCAAAACCAACGCAAGACAAACCGTCCGCAGCTAGGGTAAAACCTGGAATCCTGGCATTACGAAGCGCGTTCGCAACGCCTAAGCCACAGACGCCGACTAATATAACCAAATAATATCATTAATTAGGTAACCGCAGTTCCAACAACATATCAAAACGGTCAGCCCATAGATTCTCCGTTCTTGAACTAATAAAAATCATACAGAATGCTCATCAAATTCCCTTGTGAGGACATTGATACAATCTGATGACTCAGCAAAGCCATTAACATACACAAGCATAAATAAATATATTTGCATAAGACAGCCGTCAGAAGTGCTAACTCAAACAGTCTGTCACTAGAAATTTAGTTCATAGTCGGTGGAAGCAGCAGTTATAACAGATCAGTAGTTGCACTTGCAATTAACCGCACCACCAGTTTATATAAGTGGTCCCCATGAGAGATGCAAATTTTTGTATTTTAAGCCCCATCCTGGTTTCTGTCGGGGGCCCTGAATATAGTCGGGCCATAACTATGGCCTAGGCTATAGATATGGCCATAATGGCTGAAAAGGATTTTTGGGACCTTCCCACGGGTGATCCTTATCCGCATGGTAGCACTTTGTGTCACCGGGTGTTTATCGCTAGTGTGATGTCCTGGTGGGGTACAACTACCTACCTACCTACCTACCTACCTACCTACCTACCTACCTACCTACCTACCTACCTTTCTACCTACCACCAGTCCTCTCTCAACAGGTCACTCCCCATTATTTGATGTTGCACTTTTCAACACAAACCATGTTGGGTGCAGTGAAAAGCGTTCCCCAAAAAATCTACAACCTACAGTGTCGCGTCATGCACTGAGCTTAGTAAATGGGTGACGAGTTACACTCTTTTAGTTTTCACGTGGAGGACAATGCAGCGGGTAACTGTCAGAAGTAGAAACTTGCGCCGACTGAAAACGGCAAGCCTCGCCCTTTCACAGTATTAACAAGCAGTTAAAGAGAAAAAAAAAATAATAAAAGACATAATTATTTGAAATATATGATGCTTACTTGATCTGAACATCAGAGAAGATTGGCTAATAAACATCATCCTGTCTCGGAAACAATTTTTTTAGTCATATCAAGCGCCACGACGGATTGGAAAAAAATAATTGCAGAAGGCATGGTAAAGGGAGGAGGGTCAGGGGCCGACCGACACGAAGATGGGCACAGGATATAAGTGACTCCATGAGTATGAAAGACAAGAGGCGGGAGAGCTGGCGAGAGACCAAGTTTCTTTCAGGCATACCGTGATGAGAGCGACGTTCTGCAAAGGACGCCTGCTATACGCTGAAGATGATACTTACCTGGATTTCTGATAATATTTATAGAATATAAATAAAATATAAACTTTAGTAAATGACGTGACTTACCCTCATTAGCATAGCACATAACACCAGCAACCTCATCCAGTGTACAGTCGTTTAGAGCACTGTAGGAACACTCATGGAGGCTGGACTCTGTGCCCAAGCACTGGACATCGTCCATCACCATACTGGCAGTGGATCTCTGGAGCTCGGACAATGTTTCATTTATGCTTACTGCTGAGCTGGCTCCCCTTCAACAGAAATTGTAAACGTATGTGAAATAAGTAAATACTAAAGATAAACACACAGTGGTACCTCAGTGAAAATATTGGTGTGACTGCAGTCAAGCTAATACAAGGAATTCCAGTGAAATTTGATTAAAAAACTTAACCAAAATGGGGAAGCAGAAAAACGTGCACAAAACAAATAACGTAACTTTTCGGCCGGGCAGCCTGCGTCAAACATGAAGTGAACTACCTTCATGAAGAATATAAGGTAAACTACCGCTTCATGTTCTTCGTGAAGATAGTTCTCTTCAAGTTCTTCATTAAGGTAGTTAGTTCACTTCATGTTCTTCATATATAATAACGGTCAATCCGCGCCCATTAGAATTTTTTTTTAAAATTGTTATTAACATATTAAATATTGAACGGGGTTATATAAAATAATGTAAACACTGCTTAGTACTGAAATACACAAATACAAAAGCAATAACGTAAAAAACCATTGAACCTTACTTTATCTTGCTAAGAACAGTCGAGTGCCTATTATGATAGTGTTGAGAAGGGATAAGGAGAAGGAATTATTGTTTGCAAGAAGAGTCCCGTTACAAAAATACTTCAGGAATCTGATATTCCGGTACGTCCCCCCCCCCCACCCCAGTTCCCCCACCCCTTTTATTTCCCATTTCTTCCATCCCACCACCCCACCTCTTTCTTTTCTCTTCTTAGACTTTCCTGAGGCTTACAACCTCAGGCAAGCGAGTCGTATGCCAAACAAAGGTAGCGTACCAAGCAACATTTCTCCCATCTACACAGGAAGTAAACCAAGATGGACTGTATTTTGTTATATTTCAGATGTGTTTAACATGGACCAGACCTCGAAAGTCATGACTTTTTAATCCTTTCTGGTATCAGATACTTGTAAGAAATTAAAATGAGATGAACTAACTGGTTTCCACTACTATAAGCAGTGAAGTAAAGGACGCCTTAAGCGACATAGGCAAACGGGGCATATGATGCTAGACTCTTTTTTATAGACCCGCAATATTGATGGGTGATATAGTCAACACCCTACTGACCTTCTTTACTTCACGGAATGACCTAGTAAGCATTTGTGTTGGTTGACCTGAAAGCCAAGTCCAGCTTTGATAAGAACAAAAATTCGGAACTTATAACTAACTTGCCCACACGGCGAGAGTTCCTTCCCCTCCCATTCATGCCGTTGACGGCTGCTCGACCTGTCCTTTATTGTAAGGGTGTTATGAGATAGCTTCGCTTGCAGTATATATTGTTTGCTGGAGGTTGTAATGTTGTGAGTCTCTTTGAGACGCCTATGTACAAGCAAGAAGTACTGCAGTATCGAAATTGGGTGCTTTTGTATTTCTACGTAACTTGGTTTTCATATACTCCTGGACTTTGTTCTTGATTGAGAACTTGAGTTTGCATGCATATACGTTTTATGGAGCTTGTTTATTTATATGCAGGCGTTAGTTCTTAGCCTCTAAGGCATTTGCACTCCGACTTCAAAGGAAATACCCTTAATTAGTCGCCTCTTACGACATGCTTTTTAGAGGGCAGTGGGACTACCCCCCCCCCCTCCCACCTTCTCTCCGTCCCCAGCCTCCAGATGTGACCCCAGAACATACCCATACTGACAAGACTTACATTGTGAAACCCAGCTGTCTGCAAGCCACTGTGGCATCCTTGAGATCCCATCTGTCGTCACACACGTAGCCCCATCGTCCTGCCCTGTACACCTCAACAAGACCAGCATTTAAAAATCCACCATTTCCTCGAAGACTGGAACAAACAAAACAGTTAAAAATCCGCTCTTTAAAGTATTTGATAATAAACTTAATATACTTTCAGATATATTATTATGTTGACCCCTTTCATCACATATTAACTATTATTAGTATTATTATTACACACTAAGCTAGCCCCCTTCCCAGATTTTGTTGTGCCGCTTTTACTTCCCATGGCATTACTTGCTATCCATTTTAAGCCATGTATGTTTGAACCTTAGAACTTTGGGCCGGTAGACAGTCATTTAGACGTTACACTACCGTGACTGCGCTAGCTGTTTTCCCCATCCATTATCCTGTTGTGCCATTAAATGTCACATAGGGCTCGCAGTCATTCCTCATTTCCTTTATATCCAGGGCAATCTATTCGATATCGTTGAGTAAATTCAGTCCACCAGCCTTAGCCTGTCACATCAACGTCTGTTTAAGAGAGCTGCGTGGTTTCGAGGTATGGTGTCCGCCTCGAGTGATAGAGGTCCTGGGTTCAGCCCCGGTGAGGGCAGGTTTTTTTTTTCTCTTCACGTTGACTTCAAGTTATTTTCCCTGGTCCTGAGTAGTGAGATCGCGTAAACAATCCCTTGGTAGTTGGAAATCTCAAAGATTAGCCTCACGGCGCTGCCTGGGCAAAATTTCGAATTAACGATCTACCCAAAATATTTAAGGATCCTCGCCGGTGCTAGAGAGCCCGTGCACTGCGCTGAGCTACTTTGGACTTAGACTTTAGTTAGAAGTAGAAGGGAGAACTTACGTATTACTACTTGTGTGCCATGACGTTGATCCGTTGTTCAAACCTCAAATCTCAATCAACGTTTATTTTTAAAGATTTTTTTAATTTTTACATCTTGTTTCCTCAGTCCATTTTTTTCGAACTTTAGTGCCTTTTTGGTGACGTCTTATAACTATTGTTACCTATGGTCGCCCAGATATTTGTCTAATTTCTTCACACCTCTTGAGTTCATTCCATTTTTTGTTCAATATTAGATCTTATTTTACTTAAGCTAAATTTCCTTTCGGGAGTGGGTTGCAGTGTGTTGACAATGAAACAGCTAAAATACAATAAATGTTACCAACTGTGGCGTCTATTCGCGTGAGAGATTGTAGTACAGTGGGTAGATATTTGCTTATTGGCCTTACTGTCTTAGTTTTGAATATGCACCGTGACGATATGTTTTTGATCTTATCATTTTGGTCGACCAGCTAAGAGTGGCTACGAGGTAATGTTTCTTTTATGTAAGCCATATTCCTTAATTACTTCTTACTTACGAATTCTTGGAGAGAAAAAAACAGAGAGAGAGAGAGAGAGAGAGAGAGAGAGAGAGAGAGAGAGAGAGAGAGAGAGAGAGAGAGAGAGAGAGAAACAGAGGAAAGAAAAAGCGAAAGGGAGAGGGGGCAGAGAAAGAGAGAGAGAGAGAGAGAGAGAAACAGAAAGAAAAAGCGAAAGGGAGAGGGGGCAGAGAGAGAGAGAGAGAGAGAGAGAGAGAGAGAGAGAGAGAGAGAGAGAGAGAGAGAGAGAGAGGATTTATAGCAATTATTATTACAACCAGAAAGCTTGAAGCATGCAATATTTCTAACATAAATCTAATAACTATAAATAATTGCATGATGATACAACAGATAACAAAAAGGACGAAACACCAGGAAATAGTATAGTCTAACCGAATGAGTTCCCCAGAATACGGGTAGACAAGAGGCTTTGGTTTGTTTACTGCTTCAGCGGTGTCAGCATTTAACAACATTTGTAACATTAACAAGCTATCGAGGAGAACTGTCGACTTGCCATTCTGAAAAGAAAAACATTTTACCCACACAAAATTTGCAAATAGTCGTAGCATGTACATTTTATTTGTCAAAGATGATGAATTAGATGTTGTTGTCGTTGTTGTTGTTGTTGTTGCTGCTGCTGCTGCTGTTGTTGAAGAAGAAGAAGAAGAAGAAGAAGAAGAAGAAGAAGAAGAAGAAGAAGAAGAAGAGATTTTGGAGACAAGGAGGAAGAGAAGAAGAAGAGAAAGTTATCGAGAAAACAACGAAAGGAATGGGGTGGGGGAGGGGGAGAAAATAATTAAGATGTGGACAAAAAAAGAAATTGGAAGAAGTAGCTGGTAATTTAGACATGCTTTCAATACATTATACATAACAGTAATAGTCTTATTCGTTTCGTAACAAATGCATACAGTGTGTGGCAATATTTATTGTAAACTAGCTGTACCCGGCCACGCGTTCCTGTGGCGTAATTTGAGATAGTCTTTGATCCCCCCCCCCCTCACCCCCCCCCCACAACTAAATCCACCTAGTACCCTCTCCCTCATCAAAGGTTTTTAGAAAAGAAAGACAATGGAAATCGCACCTGTCTAATGAAGTTAATGACGCAGTCAATGTCTGCGCCGACGTCGAGATAGTCCTTGATTGCCCCCCCCCCCCCCCATCGAAGGTTGTTTGAAAAAAAAACAGAAAATAGAAATCGTGTTTAATATGGTTATTGTGGCAAATATAGAGATAGTCTTGTTTGCTGTACCACGACCTACTCTATGTATTAGTATTAGAGAAGGCGTTGGCTGCACGTAACTCGCCGGCGAATGGTAAATACGGCCCATGCGCAATTACTAACGTGGCTATAATTAGAAATCACTTAAGTTATAAATATTAGTTGCGTATATTTTGGCATAAATTGTGGTCACCTATCTCTAACAGTGACAGGTTGAATTTCAAACCACGACGGTTCAAAATCCGGTCACAACAAACATATCCTGAAAATTTCAGCTAAATCGGTTCAGTAGTTTTCGAGTCTATAGAGACCAAACAAACACACAAACATTGATTTTTATATATATAGAAGATATATATAGATAGATAGTCTGGTTTTCCAACTTTAGAACACGCACCATATAATTGTGTCTTTATATTAGTGGTCGTTTAAATGGTGTTATTAGCACGGTAACAAAAGTGGTTATTTGGTTATCACATGCTAAAGCTGTTTGTATTTTTATAGGAGACGGAAGTAAAGCTACAAGTGTACTTGTAAATAACAAAGTAAGTTGTAAAAAATAGAAAAGCGGAGGTAGCGTTAGTAAAATATAAACAAATTAGGTAATGAGAACTTTAAAATCACCTGTAAAGCTCTTTAAGTTCTCTTAAATTTAAGTCATTACCCCCATCCCCTCCCCTCTTCCACCGACTACTGCTCTCTCCCTCTTCGAAGGATTTGAAAATCACTAACTGGCGATATTTTGTTGTTGCTGTAACTGACATTGACATCCCTGTCCATCTGGACTAAAATAAGGAGCAGGAATTGTAAAAGGTAGTGAATAGGGCTAGTGAAATATTTACCACATCATCCTTCAAGTACCAGTACAACTACTAAAATAATGTCACTGCTATCTGTGTTACCATCGGAGTAGACAGAGAGTCGTGAGCCAGAAGATTTGGTTCCGCATGGCTAGTGCTGTCGCCACAGACTGGTCAGGTTAGGATGTATAATTTCACTTGCCGACAGAAGAACGCCATAACCTTACCGGTGGTCTTCACATGAGAGCACTATGATGTAACAGCCCAACCACAACTATTACTGCTGCTGCTACTTTAAGTGGGTAAAGCAATTATTGTGACTTAAAGCTCTCTCAGTTAATAGTTTGCCCCCCCCCCTCCCCCCAAATTCACCGACAACTCTTTCCCACATTGAAGTAGTTGGGAGGGGAAAAAAAACAACACTTGAAAAGCAAATGAACACAGGAAAAAAACACCATAATTAGGAAATGAACGCCATTGTAAACAGCACAGCTTAAAATTCCAACACAGATGAAATAACTAAATCTAAATGAAAATAAATGAAAATCTATAAGTCAGATAGTCCTCGATTGCGCTTGACAGTAAGGTTTGCAAAAGAACCCTAAAAAGAAACCGTGTTTAATATGGTTATTGTGGCAAATATAGAGATAGTCTTGTTTGCTGTACCACGACCTACTCTATGTATTAGTAGTATTAGAGAAGGCGTTGGCTGCAGGGTTTCCGCAGAGTTTAAAATTGAAATCACTAAAGTTATAAATATTAGTTGCGTATATTTTGGCCACCTGTTTTCAAACCACGAAAATTCTCATCCTTGAAATGTTTAATCTTACTCTAGACCACAGCAAAGCAGTTCGATCCGGACTTCATTTGATCGCTTGACAGTAGGGCACCCTAAAAAAATTTCTTTATGCTTTTAAACAGGGTTTCCAGAGTTTCTGCCTGTTTGATTCTCATCCTTGAAATGTTAATCTTACAGAAAGCAATCACGTAAGGGACAAACTGTCTACCTACCATGCCATCCTGACAAAGTTTTCACAATTCTTTCTTAACCTCTTCTCTTCAAAACAATTGCCCAGATGTTTCTTACAATTATTAGGTAATCATTTTATAATCCAAAGAGTGTCTCAGAGTACTACTTTCGGGGACAGTCGGTTTTTCCTCTTCGGGTGTATTACCCTGAGATAGAATATTTCTAATCTAGATGGCAGACTAACAATGCACATCTCAGAAATAAATGTAAACCTCTATAACAGTGCCATTAAAGCCTGCAGTAAGGTACCTGTAAGGACGTTCATGGGACAAGGAATGTGGTGTTCTTGTGCTTTGCTAAAAAAAAAAAATGGCCACATTCAACCAGTATCCCCGAAGTGGGCGCTCTAAATAATAATTGTGGTCAGGTTATGTGTGCCATAAAAAAATGGCTTTTGCATTGCTCGCTACCAAGTAACCTCGAAAAGGACTCTTGCAAGGTTGATTCGATCAAATGAGACATACCTAAATACTGTTTTGACGAGCGACGAAGTCGTCTACGGCCGAGCCGATAGGCGACGCTGTCGCCGAGGTGACAAGGAATCTACGAGTACGACTTGTAATAATCGATGCCAAGTGGCGTTTGTTATCTTTGTTTCCACAGCCTTCTATCTCATGTAATGTCATCAGTTTCTCTGTGGAGTGATGCCACACAGCATAGCATTTTCTGTTTTGGTCTCCCTCTGTCTCTCTTCCCCTCTAACTTTTCTGCCGTCACAACCTACCCCAATGTTTTCATTCTCACGATGTTACTCAAGAACATAGACTGTCTCCCTCTTATGTGTGTAATCAGTTAATTTAATTCCTTCCAAGACATCTCATTACAATGTTTGTCCGCCTGTGGTGTTATTGGAGTCGCCGTGGTGTAGCGGCTAGACGCTCCCTGTGGATCAGAAGGTCGTGGGTTCAGACCCTGACGAAACCAGGCTTTCTTCAAAAATGACTTTGGCTCCCAGGTTGACCCAGCCTTTAGTGGGAACCAGGTGCAGTCCTGGGAAGTAAAGCCGGTCGGCGTCATGTTGACCAGATCACCCAACAAGTGCCTATTGGTTTATAAAATATAGGTCTAGCCCTATATGCCCAATACGCCCGAAGGCGTGGGAAAGGATCCTCAAATGGTGTTCTTGCAGTCCGCTTTGAACTAATTTTGACAGGGGTAGGGAGAGCCGACTATGTAGATAGCGTTGGCCAACAATTAAACGCAAACGTGGCCAATTAACCTTCTGCCACACTGCCAATTATTGTGAATGTATTTACCACTTCTGCAGTGTAGGCAAGGATTTAGAATCGTACGGCTAGTGTTGTAGTCACGAACTGTGCAAGTTAGGTTTTTTTTTTCTGGGGGGGGGGGGGGGCAATAAACCTGAAAACGCCAAAATGTGCCGATATCAGTCTTTCTGTAAAAGATACTCAAATTGCTCCAGTATACTTTTACTTGTTTGATATCAGACTGGAATTAATTGTCTATGCGCATTTTGGCAATAAGTGACAGAAAAAGATATACCATATGATGTTTTCGCTAATGGCATAAGATGTGATTTTTACATTGCATATCAAATAAAGCCACACTGGAGAATAAATCAGTGCCACATTATGTGATCTTTATCTTCATCATCATCATATCAATATCAACATCATCATCATCATCTTCATCATCTTCTTCTTCTTTTACTACTACTACTGCTACTACTACTACTACTACTACTACTACTACTACTACTACTACTACTACTACTACTACTACTACTACTACTACTACTACTACTACTACTACTACTACTACTACTACTACATCTTCTTTTTCTTTTCATCTGGGTTCGGCGGTTGGCAGGTTGTGGTATACAGCTAGGCTGCAATCTCTGCGTATTTCGGCCCAAAACACCCAATTTCAGCAAACCCCTAATTAGCCCCGTTTCCCTACATGCTTGTAAGGAAGGCACTAGGTTCTTCCTCCTCCCCTCACCACACACTAAAATGAAGGCTCGGAATTAACACCACGGGCATATCATTTTACCCAGTATAAATTACAATATAAAATAACTATTAAATGGAAAATGTCAAAAAAAATTTTCAGGAATTTTCGAAATTGTCACTTACCTTAGTGGGTAAATCCGTCGCCACTGTCGAGGATTCGTCTGAAATAGTTTGATACAGTATGATCTGACAGAAATAATATATTATATATGAGACTATAAATACCAACGCAACTCTGGAACTCTGCGCTGGCTGTTGAAGATGGGAACAGAGCGCTCATGGGAATGCCCAAAGTGTTTTCATGCCGGTTCTTGAATAATTTCTTTCTACACTCGAACTTTTCATATGCCCTGAGAGCTGGTTCTTGAATCAACTCACCCCACTCATAAATACAAACAGAAAAGAATACATATAGGTTTTTTTGTAAAGCTGAAATAATTGCACAGGAAACAGCAGTATATCACCTAAAGACTGTAATGGATGTTTACCCTTTAAAGGTCCAAAATATTGTCATCTTCACAGATTCAATGTCTGCCCTTCAAGCTCTGGAGGGCAGTGAACGCTGCAGAACTGATATAGCCAAGATAATCCTGGATGCTGATCAGCTTATTACCTCATACAACATCAGAATAGTGATGCAGTGGATTCCAGGTCACTCTGGCACACCAGGTAATGACAGAGCTGACAGATTGGCAAAGAAAGGAGCAGCACAAGAACAACCACCTACAGCGACAACCCTCCAGACAGCAAAAACACTGATAAGAGCTATAAACAAAGAGACTTGGTTGAACAGATGGGCCATAGGAGGCACTGGAAGAGAGGTTTATAGATATATATCTGGCCCTGATCCTAATGACAGCATTAACCATCTAACAAGAAGGGACCAGGCCACCATCTTCAGACTTAGAACGCAGCATACTCCACTCAATGGACACTTAAACAGAATACAGCCACAACACTCCCCAGAGTGCCAGCTATGTAACTACCCCTACGAAACTGTTGAACACCATCTCTTTGAGTGCCCAGAACTCAGTGAGACAAGAAGAACGCTACTCCCTCCGAGACCAGACAAGTGGAACACCTTGTACGGAGGAAAAGAACAGCTAGTGAAAACATGCAAATTCCACTACATGGCATTGGGCCAAAGGCGAAAGCTCATGCGCCGCTGGATCGATAACAACAACATAGGTTTATTTCTAAATATCTATAATAAGGTCACTCATTAATCTCTAAATAGTTTTTTTCACTGCTTAGAAGTTTTTAAACTCTGTATTCTGTACTTAAAGAGTCAATTAAAGTTTGTAGGCTGTATCCAAAGAATCTCTAAATGTCCGTATTCTGTCCATAAAAATCTCTAAATGTTGGTAATCTGTACTCACACATCTCAAAATGTATATGATGTGTGCTCAAAAATCTCTAAATGTCTGTATTTGGTCCATACAAATCTCTAAATGTTGGTATTCGTACTTACACATCTCAAAATGTATATGATGTGTGCTCAAAAATCTCTAAATGTCTGTATTCTGTCCATAAAAATCTCTAAATGTTGGTATTCTGTACTCACACATCTCAAAATGTATATGATGTGTGCTCAAAAATCTCTAAATGTCTGTATTCTGTCCATAAAAATCTCTAAATGTTGGTATTCTGTACTCACACATCTCAAAATGTATATGATGTGTGCTCAAAAATCTCTAAATGTCTGTATTTGGTACTCATGAATATCTAAATTTCTGTATTCCTACTTTTAAATCTCCAAATGTCTTTATTCTGTACTCATAAATCTCAAAATATCTGTATTGTATACTAATATCTCTAAATGTCTTCTGCTTCGTCCTGTATTCAAAAATCTCTAATTGTCTGTATCACGTATTTATATATTTCTGTGTGTGTATACTAAACTTAGAAATCTCCGAATGTCTGATTTAACGCATTCTAGTAAAATAAGGCTCGGGTACGCACTGCAGTGGCTTAAACAAACTAATGAAATGTAGTTGTGATACCCAAACGTCTCCCTTCCAGCAAAACAGCAAATGATCAATAGCATCTGTATCACTACTATGTGTTATCAGTGCCAATACGTAGCTACTGTTGGAAAATACAAGGGGTTGACTATTCTATCAGATCAACAATATAACATTTATGGTTTAAAGTAAGATACATGTTAAAACTTACTTTTCCCATATCTAGATCTGGTAAGAATCACTTTCCCTCGTATAGCTGATTGTCTCTTTCCCTAAAGATGGGAAAAACAGTTATAGACTACAGCATTTACTCTTTACACATAAAGAATAACTCAGTACTAGGAAACTCACAGTACATTAGTTAGTTAATTTTTACATGCTATACATTTTTGTACTCTTTCTGTCCAACTTTTCTATTATGTTAATGCACTCTTGGAAGTCGCCATGGTGAAGTGCGAGACCATTCCACTGGCTAGACATCAACGTGGCTGCTTAGGGATACGTCAGTCAAGTGATTGTGTGTATTGGTGTTGTTTTGTTTGATTTATGTTATTGCTCATTAGGACTCACTTTTCGTTTATGTATGAGCTCACTAAGGCTCACTTTTCGTTTATGTATGTGCTCACTGAGGCTCACTTTACGTTTATGTATGTGCTCACTGAGGCTCACTTTTCGTTTATGTATGTGCTCACGAAGACTCACTTGTCTGCGTTTATTGTATTGTAAAGCTCGCTAGCGTAAATTTGGTTCGGTTTTATAACTTTCTGTTGTAGTGGCTAGACGTTCGCTGCAGGATCGACATTCATGGGTTCAAGCCCTATTGTTTTTCACCAATGGCCTTAGCCTCCAGTTTGACCCAGGCTAAAATGGGTACCAGGTAAAGTCATAGGTAGTAAAGACCACATCTTCCTTTCAGAGCCGATTGGTCAATATAGAATAGTTCTAGCACTATACGCTCATGGCAAGGAAAATGGTCCGATTATTTTAAAACACCCTATCTCATTTGTTAAGCGGTGTCCGTGGCTTAGGCGTTGCGAGTCCGACTCATAATTCCAACGTACCGCGATCGAAACCCACTGTTGGCTGCGTGGACTTTTATCAAGGTATGGGGCGTCGCAGATCGACCCGGCCTAAAATTGGTACCAGGATGGCTGTCATGGGGAAGTAAAGACGGCCTGCGTAATGCTGACCACGTTACCCACCTAGTGCCGATGGTCTGTAAAACTATTCCTGATGCACCTAAGGCGTGAAAAGGGATCTGTACTTTACTTTACTTTCATTTGTTACTGCAAAGCTTTCTCACCCAGAGCGGTATCTGTCAATTTTTAGAAGAAACAGTGCTGCTCAAGAATACAAAAACTTGAGGATTGACAATGCTAAATTAAAAACTACCTGGGACGTAAGGAGTTAAAACAAAACGGAGCTTGGTAAAGTAACGTAACGGACCCCTTTTACGCCAATGGCGCACACTCGACCTTTTATAAATCGCTCGACATTCTGTGGGTGATGTGGACAGCATTAGGCCAGTTAACGTGACTAATGACGGCATTACCGGTTACTCATTGTATGCTTGGTGACCCGTTAAATAAGTTCAATTTTGACCAAACAAAATATGTCTCCATGCGGATTCAAACCCAAGATCTTCTGTCTGAGTGGCAAGACGTTTGCTGCAGGACCGAATGTCGTGGGTTCAAATCCGTACCAAGCCCTTATTTTTTTTTTCCACTAATGACTTTGGCTCCCAGTTTGAAACTAGCAGGCCAGTGTATAGCAGCTATTCTATAACAACCCTCTCCTCAACCCCCCCCCCCCTACCCCCCCTCCACCCATCCCCCTAAAAAATATAAAAACAATTATTACTGCAGGGAGTAGTACTAACCTCAAGCTAACTTCATTTATATACAGAAAGTATTTTTTTTTAAAAACAATTTAGAAAAATGCCTGGACTGAATAATCTATGGCAGACGAATACACAACACGAATGGAAGAAAATATTTTAATCTACATGCGAAAAATCTATAGAGATAAGCAATGCACTAAACATGATTACTGTCAAATGTTATATGAACTCAACCCTACTACGGTCTGACGTAGAAATTGTTTATAGCCAACAGAAGTAAGAAAATACAGCTATCTCTGGAGATGTAGGTGGATAGAAACAATGAACAATATGCGATAGACCCAGCGAAAGAAGAGTGGTTTCACGTCTTTTCTGAAACATCCGTACCCAGTCTGTCACTGTTGTCTTCGACACACAGTTGCTGCAAGCATTCTTCGATGAATTTCCAATGTCGATATCTTTCAAATGAAAGAAACAGAATCATCAATCTTTCAGCTTATTTGGGCGGATTTGAGATCAGCCAGGCCATTTTACCATTATTTTACCAACGGTCAGGAACACAACCTATGAATTATGGAAAGATACGCACGCTCTCTTTGATTCCCTTGACAGTCATCATCATCAGGTGCCTTGCCGAGTGGCGTGGGCGATCATGCCTCTCCATAATCCGCGATCTCCTGCAGCATGTATCAGTTCGTGTGCCGACACACCTCCATGCCATGCAACAAGACCGTCAAGCATCTTCTCTCGTTGTCTTCCTCTATCCCTCCTTCCACAGATCTTTCCAGTGGTCACAACATGTTCTATTTTCCCTCTTCTCATAACATGGCCGAAACATGATGACTGTCTCCTTCTGATGTCAGTGATAAGTTGTCTTCGGTCTCCCGCCTCTTTTAAAACCTCTTGGTTGCTCTTTTTGGCTGTCCAAGGTATTCTAAGCATTCTTCTGTAAAACCACATCTCTGAGGCCTCCAAAAATTGTTTGGCCTGCCTACCGATTGTCCAGGATTCACATCCATATGTTAAAACTGGATGTATGTAGCAAGCAAGAATTCTTTTTCCAACTCTCAATGACAAGGATATATTGCACAAGATGTTTTTCATTTTATAAAATGCAGTTTTTGCCTGTACAATTCTGTTTCTTATTTCAGTTATGCATCTTCCATCTGATGTTATCCATGTGCCCAGATACTTAAATTTCTGTACTTGTCTTAAAATAACACCATTGACTTTTATTACACATTTAGGAATAATTTGTTTCTTTGATACCACCATTACTTCTGTCTTCCCATTATTCAAACTGAGGCCCATTCTTCCACTTTCTAACACCACAATGTCTATCATTTCCTGTAATTCTTTCTGACTTGTTGCTATCAAGACTGTGTCATCAGCATAACGTAAATTGTTTATATTGTGCCCACCAACCACGATTCCGGGCATATCAATTAAAGATCTCATAATATATTCACTGTATATTGAAAACAAATCAGGTGAAAGTACACATCCTTGTCGTACGCCCCTCTTTATGCTTTGAAATGTACCTAAACAGTTGTTAATTCTTATAGCTGCTGTTTGCTGCCAATACATATTCTTTATTATTCTTAGATCTTTCCCATCAATGTTTAATTTTTCTAACAGTTTGATTACTTCTTCATGCTTCACACAGTCCCTTGACAGTACTTATCACATAAATATCACATTATCATGTTCAAGTGCATAATTACGTGGTGCAGCGCGAACGGGTTTCAAACGACAGATATAAATAATATATATATATATATATATATATATATATATATATATATATATATATATATATATATATATATATATATGGGGAGCAGCATTTGCGTAGTGGCTAGTCGGATGGTCTCTGGTCTGAATCTGCATCGAGTAGGATCAATTTCAGAATAACCTTGATCACTCTATGTATTTGCCGCCGAAGACAAAAGATAGATCTAATACATACTACTATAAAGCAAGGAATAATGCCTTTTCAAAGCAATAAATTGATGTTTAGGATGAAATGAAACATGCGTGGCAAAGATCAAGAGCAGGTAGGCCAAGTGGCATTTCGGAAGTTGAAATATTATACCACACAATGCGTTTCTCAAAAGAGGAGAGGGACGTAGAGCAAGAGGTAGACCAAGAACACGATGGAAAGATAACATCAGACAAACTCTTCAGCACCACGATGTGTCAATGGTCAAAGCAGCCACAAGAGCACGAAGCAGGACCTTATAACTCCCTCGACACCCGAAGCAGTAAAAGAAAACATAAAGAAGGAGAAGAAGAAATTTATCTATTGAAAAGATGATGACGACTGAAAATGCTTGCAGCAGAAAAGGAGGATGCTGACGGAATCAAATGATACAGAATCGTCTAAAACAGTGACACAGTTTGTATCTCAATGTGCTGTTTGTCCGTCACCCTTCATAGCTTATTTTTCTATTCAGCTTACATTCCCAAATGTAATCCTTCTTGTGAACCTGTAGCTTCTGTTTGTTTGACACACTCTTCCTATTCATTAATGAAACTGGCCTAAGAAAAGCGAGGGTCAATATATTGAGACATTTAGAAATAAGGACAGGCTTATATCGTGGTAACATTTTACTTACATTTCTGAAATTTCCGTTTGCGAGCACGTCTGATGTAAGAAGAATAACGGAAATACACAGTAACAGACAGTACATCACGAGAAGTCAACTAATTATACTGTAAATGTTGCAGATAAACATTTACACAGCACAACTTTCAAAAACGATATTTTTATATTACACAAAACCAAGGTGAGACTCCTGCTCGGCACTTTCAGCTCTCTCTATACTGGCTAGGAGTGATCTGGTTTATTGTTGTCACAGCCGACCTTTAAGTGCAAGAACAGAACGACCAACTTGACTTCTAAGTTAGTTAAACTATTGTCTCACGCGTTAGTCATACATGGGAGTGAAGTGCCGACTATCTGGCTATTTTGATTTGTCACGTGCATGTTTTGATACATTGCGCAAATACTGTTGGGAACTGACCCTTTCAAAATTATGGTTATAATAAGGTCACAGGCGCCGAAGCTTGAGGGAGGCGGTTAGTGGTGTGAGGATGGAGGGCATTAGTCCCACTGATACATATCTGAACCTGAGATCCAGGGCAGCATTCGGCCAGCATGAGGCTAGTTAACTTGACTTATGAGCACATTACCGGGTACTAATTTCAGGCAACCCACCTGATGCAACCCACCTGATGGTCTGATCTAAGAATACGAAAACAAACGCAACGAAGAAGAAGTACTGCGTCTGGGTAACAGTAGCCACTACAGTTAAAGGAATAGTAAGAGGAGGAGAAGGGCGAAGACGAGAAGAAAAAGAAGAAGAAGTAGAAGAAGAAGAAGAAGAAGAAGAAGAAGAAGAAGAAGAAGAAGAAGAAGAAGAAGAAGAAGAAGAAGAAGAAGAAGAAGAAGAAGAAGAAGAAGAAGAGAAGAAGAAGAAGAAGAAGAAGAAGAAGAAGAAGAAGGAGGAGGAGGAGGAGGAGGAGGAGGAGGAGGGGGGGAACAATAACAACAAATTAACAAAAATAACAACAAGAATAAAAGGAAACAATGGTAGCACCTAGTGATTTTATCTTTCCACAGTGTGAAACTTAATATGCTGTTTTGTTCTTCTGTTTTTTTTTTTTTTTAAATATTCAGTTTACTTTTCCTAACGCTACTTTTTTTCAAGAGGAGCAGTAATCATTCAGTTTCGTCCTTTTTAGGACGAAATTTTTTGTTATTTGAAGCCCCACCCTGGCTTTTGCCAGGGGCCGCAATATAGGCAGACCATAAATATGGCCAAATGTCTAAACGCGGTTTCTGGGACCTCTCCACGGCGATCCTCATCCGCATGGTGGCACTTTGTGTCATCGGGTGTTTATCGCTTGTGTGATGTCCTGGTGGGGTAGAAAGTCAGTCAGTCAGTCAGTTTCAAGAGGAGGAGATCGAGGAATAAAAAAGAAGGGCAATAATTAGAAACATAAGTAGCTCCTCCTGCCTTGATCTTTCCCAATTGTGTATCTTACTGTGCTATCCGTCTTTCATTATGATACATTTTTCTACTAAGTATACTTCCCCAACACTGCTCGTCTTACGCATTTCTAGCTTTTGAATGCCCGGGTGACACTCTTTTTCTTTGCACTTTCTTCCTCAATTGCATCCACGTGAGTTTCTCACCTATTTATGTCCTAATCGTATTTATATATTTCTTGTGGGTGACTCCTATTTCACAAAAGCCTCACACCATGCACACACCTTGTGCGTCTAATGCGATTCTTCTGTTAATTAATTCGATGAAAGTGATAAGCTCGAAGGTAGAGTGCACGTTATTTTAAAGTTTGAGGCTTAAGTAGTTTTCTATTGTATACTTATTTAATTACCGTGTGTATAAACTTAGGAAAAGAATTTTTGCTCGCCATAAATAAACCGGGGAAAGGGGCGTGAGGCCTATATTATTATAGACTAACTGAAACTCGATGGGCGAACATTACTTGTCACCCATTTTAGTCTGCTTGGACCTGGGAGCAAAAGCTAATTTAAAACGTAAAATAAAAATGTAAACCTTTCTGTGTCGGATTTGAATCGCATACTTTCATGTCAGCAGATGTTTTGTAATTTTTATGACAATCATCATCATCATGTAGCAGGTCCTTTGCAGAACGTTGCTTTCATCACAGTCTGCCTAAAAGAAACTCGGTCTCTCCCCAGTTCTCCCGCCTCATGCACTTTCACACTCAAGGAGTCACTTATATCCTGTGCCCATCTTCGTGTCGGTCGGCCCCTGCCCCTCCTTCCTGGTACCATGCCTTCTGCTATAATTTTTTCCAATCCGTCGTGGCGCTTGATATGACAAAATATTTTAGCTTTCGAGAAAGGATGCTGTATTTTAGCCAATATTCCTTGATGTTCAGATCTTTTAAGATGTCAGTATTTCTCATCTTCTTTTTTATAACAATAGTGTATCTTTTTTGGTGGTCCGCAAACTACGTAAGTAAAGCCACACCCGATTTTTGCCTTTTCTCACCGGTATGCCTTTTCATTTCCAGAACGATTAAAAGGTTGTCCATTTTTTAAAGTACCCGACAGAACACTGAACTGATTGATGTGTCATATATCTGGTGTCGAATTAATCTAAAATGATCCGAAGATTTTACTCCGCAAGCAATGAGCTCATAAACCTTTTGTGCCATTAGTTGAATGGGTTCCTTAAATTTGGTTTTGAGCAATAAGAAGGATTTCCTTTGCCAAAATTTCCCTGTTTCGAAATGAAGCCTGCTTAAACTGAATCAAACTGGCTATAGACATTGTCTGTGCTGTCCCCATCCCTTCCTGCTGCTATATGAGTGAGCTTAGTGTGCCTAATGGTTAATCTGTTCCTGTTGATTAGCGAGCGATAGGAGTTGTAGGGAAGTAATTTTTGAAATTATTTGGTGAGAACGGAATTAAGAGATTTAAGAGAATGAAGACTTTAAATTAACATCAGTGAAACGAGATTCCTGAGAAAGTCGATAAATGAACCACCCGAGACAAAAGTTAGAAATGATGTTATCAAACAGTCTGTGGGAACGCTACCTGGCAGCAAATTCCTTGAGAAACAGAACAGATAGTTTGGTCATCTATTAATAAGAATGTAGCCAGAACAATTACCGTCAAGGGCGCTGTACACGAAAATAAAGAGGTCACCCTAGGGGAATATGGAATGGTTACATTAAAAAGCTTCTGCGTCAACACCGAATGACAATAGTCATTGCTACCCATCTATTAACAGATCGCAAACTGTTCCTTCCGACACCGCTTAACGGCAGACTTGGCAACTGATGATAAGATAAAGATAAAAGATGACGGGCAGGCTGGCCTCATGCACGGAGGAGCTTCTCTCTGGAAAAGTATTGGCAATACATGTGCCAAGATAGCTGTCGACTGATATGATGTTTAAAAACGCTCCCACAAACATTAGTATACCCATTTTCAGTTGAGGGGCAATGAAAAACTTGCAAATGTATTGATCGCAATATCATTACAATTATAACTGCTCAGCCTGCCTTAGATCACTAGCAGTAGAGCTGTGGTTAGACCTTGCGTGTCGTAATGAAGGTCTTGTGTTCAAAGGCGCATCAAGAAAATGTTTCATAATTAAAATAGAGCTCTCATGTTGACACAGTCGTAAACCGGGTACCAGAATTAATTTAGCGAGTAAAGACGTTAAGGGTGATCTGGATATCGCCAACTGAGTAGGTCTGTTTGTCTGTTGCCGCTTCAATATGGGGCGCAATTTTTCGTCATTTCAAAGCCCCACTCCGGCTGTTGCCAGGCGGCCCTAATATAATCTTAGTGTTAAACGTGGTTTCTGGGTCTTGCGCCCAAGTGATTTTCATCCGAATGGTGGTACTTTGTGTCACCAGGTGTTTATCGCTCTTTGTGCGATCCTGGTGGGGTTGGACTTCATTCATTCATTCCAGCTGAATGATGGGAGCCACACGTCGTTACATCAACCGGAACCGAATAGGAGTCTCTAGCCTTAAAACACTTAGAGAATACTAAGGAGGGTATCGGAGCACTTATGGTCAGGTCCGAAATGCAATGAAGATGATCTTTAAATGAACAAAGAACAATGTGTAGCTGTTTGAGAATACAAGTCCCAAGTGTAAATCCTAAGCTATAAGCAGTGATCAATTTCAGTGGGCCCCTAGTGATTCCCAGCAATTTATATTTTAGTATTTAGCAGACAGCATTAGTTATATGGCGTCAACAGCTGGCAAACGTGCGGTGATTTCGCGTAGTTTGATCAATTGACAAAACTGTAATCATACTTTGGGTTAACGCACTCCGTAGTTAATGCAGTCTTGATCTACATATTGACAGACATCGTGAAAAACCTAAAAGTTTGAGAAGATTTCTCATTTTTTGACCGTAAATTGTGTACATACGCAAGAAACTTTTGAACAGATTTTAAAATTACTAAACAACTGAGATGGATCTCTTTCCTAGTTTGAAACAGTTTCGTTTGATGTTCATTTTGATGCTTGTCTCGTACGCTCACGGGAAGGAAATCAAACTAGTAAGTGCAGTATCCTTGTTTGGTCTTTCAGTCATGCAAATTAAGCATTAAATACTAAAATCTGACATTATAAATCAGAACGGTCTAAATGTTAGCGGACTTCTCTAAAAAAAAAGTAGTCGGTACTACATACGGAGCATACTAAACCTAACATCGAACCACCCATAACAGCCATTTTTGTTTCCTCTTCCCTTTGCTGACAATGATTACTGACGAAGTAGCTCACTGGGAAGGATACTATTCCTGTCCCATGAAGAAAAAAAATGCAACTTAATAATGTTATGTTATGAAAATGCACTTCAGATCCGTCGCCTTGGTTGGCATCTACTCTAGGAGGGAAGGTGACATCTGCTCAAGGAGGGAAGCTGGCATTAGCTCTAGGAGGAAAGCTGACATCTGCTCTAGGAAGGAAGGTGACATCTGCTCTAGGAGGGAAGCTGGCATCTGCCCTATTAGAGAAGGTGGCATCTGCTCCAGAAGGGAAGCTGGCATCTGTTTTTAGGAAGAAAGGTGACATCTGCTCTAGGAGGGTAGCTGGCATCTGCTCTAGAGGGAAGCTGGCATCTGCACTAGGAGGGAAGCTGGCATCTGTTCTAGGAGGAAAGGTAACA